AGAGCCAAGAGAAACCCAGAGAAACAGCAGAGACGTCCTCTGTTCACACCACAGCTGAGCCACAGCCTCCCTGGGCTTGGGCTTCTTAACGCTGTCCAGCAGACCTGCTATCCATACCCTCCCCAGGGGCCTTGTGCTGAAAGGCTGCGCTCTCTGGTCACAGCAAGCAGGATGATGCAGCAGTGAGCCTGTGTGTGGGCTTTCCTTCCCAGGTCTGACCCCTCTTTCTCCCCTCCACCTACAGGTGAGGCTTTCCCTGTCTCGGAGCAGCACCAGCACTCAGACCTCACTGCTCCCCCTAACAGCCCCACCGGCCACCCCCCACATCCAGCATCTTTGATTCCTTCTCACCCTGGCTCCTTCAGCTCACCATCTCATCCTCACCTGCTGCCCACCGCTCCGGCAGCACCTTTCCCTGCCCAGGCTTCAGAGTGCCCTGTGGCTGTTGCCACTGCCACCCACCCCCCAGGGCCTTGTCAGAGCCCCCATCTGCCCTCCACCAGCATGCCACTCCTGAAGATGCCTCCACCATTCTCTGGGTGCAGCCACCCCTGCAGCGGGCACTGCGGTGGGCACTGCGGTGGGCCTCTCCTCCCACCATCGAGCTCTCAGCCACTCCCTAGCACTCACAGGTAAGTGAGTGGCATGGAAGGCAACACTCCCTTCTCCCGGAGCCGAAGAGTTACGGGAAAGCTGCCAAGAACACTTTTAGGATAGAATCAAGTGTAGATTGGGCTGGAAGAAGTAGCTCAATGACAGCTCAATGTGCACACAATCTTAGCACGCATAAGGTCCTGTGCTCAACCCTTCGCACCAAAATAAACACATTCTAAGTTAAGGGGTTTCGCTATAGGATTTTTTTGAGGAGGAGGTTGGTATTTGGAGATATGATTATCTGTGAAACATTTGTGACTGTCCTGGACCTCACTCTGTAGACCAGGCTGGCCTTGAACTTACACAGATCCGTCTGACTCTGCCTCCTTGTTGCAGGGATTAAAGGTGTGTGCTACCACCACCCAGCTCCTTATTTTTTTAAGCTTAGATGTAAAGAGGAAAAGGGTCTTCACACCTAAAGAAAAACTTGTAGAACTGTGATCTGTTTTCTTGAAGATATGTCTGTATGTAAATGACATAAATATTTAATGTAGCAATTTTCTTCATTTTGAGACAGGTTCTTGCTGTGTGCAGCCCAGGCTAGCCTCTAACTTGTGGTTCTCCTGCCTTATCCTTCTACTTCAGGGATTACAGAGCAACACTTCTTAAATACAATGATCATTTTCATAATTAAAACTTAAGTATCCATGTTTATTTATTTTGGGTTTTGGGTTTTGGGTTTTCAAGACAGGATCTCTCTATAGTCCTGGCTATCCAGGAATTGCTCTGTAGACCAGGCTGGCCTCAAACTCAAAGATCTACCTGTCTCTGCCTCCCAAGTGCTGGGATTAAAGGTGTGCACCACCATAGCCTGCTTTTCATTTCCAAATTTTTAACCAAGAAAAATACTGTTGACAAGCATCCTAAGCGTGTGTTTGAATACATGCGGGCCCTTTAGAACCCTAGAAGAAGCTCTGTGACTCTGTCGCAGCTATTTGGATGTGAATGTTTCAGAGGCAGATGTTTTCAGGGTTGACACTGCCTGTTACATAGGCCTCTGTTTCCCAACCTGAGATCTCACGGCCCTGCTGCCACCACTCTTGACCTGTCTGTCACCTCGCATGCCTCTCACATGCTGCTGCTGCTGCTGTCAGCACAGACTTGGATCTTGCAGTTTTCACTTGTAGTACTGTGTTCCTGTGTTTTGTTCTTAATGCTCAGGTCTGGGGCTGGAGAATCCTAGCTGTGGTTCATTTTTGCTGCTCTCCAGTTACAGAACATTTAGGTAATTCCATCATTTTAACATTATAACCAACATCTAAAGATGTACTGGCCTAAAGCTTTTTCTTCCTTTAGACTTTTTCATCACTGTTTCTTGGGAGGGTTCTTAACACACATTGGCAAACTGCTTTCTCCCATGCAAAGTGGTGCACGCCTATCACCCTAGCAATTGGGAAGCAGAGGCAGGAGGATCGCTAGTTCAAGGCCAGCCTCATGTGTATAGGAAGACCTCTAGTGACGTGTGAGGGAGGCAGAGGGAGGAGAGAGCACAAATGAGTGAGTGAGTGCGGGGTTCCCTCTGTGGTAGATGCAGAAGTCTCTGACCGAGTTTAATCCCTGCAGGAAGAGAGAATAGGTGGGGACCGCTTTTTATAGGGTTCTCCAAGTCCATGTAACCACCAGTGATGAGTAGTGACTCGTCTAGATCTTTAGAAACACTGAATGTTTGAATTTTACTAAAAGGAATTTTTCTTAATGTAATTGAAGAATTGTGAATTTGGAGTAAACTCTAGGCACCATTGGTAACTTCTGCTGACTTTCTAACCCTACCGTACATTTACTGACCTTTACAACAGCAGACATGGGCTACACTGGCCTGCCCTACACTGTCACCTTATTCTTTTTTTTGTTTTGTTTTGTTTTTTGGTTTTTCGAGACAGGGTTTCGCTGTATTGTTTTGGAGGCTGTCCTGGAACTCGCTCTGTAGACCAGCCTGGCCTGGAACTCACAGAGATCTGCCTGCCTCTGCCTCCCCAGTGCTGGGATTAAAGGCATGCGCCACCAACGCCCGGCTGTCACCTTATTCTTACTTCCTCTGAAACATGGGCCAGCTTCTGCAGTTCTCCAGCTGCTGCTGACTCATCATAGGGCTCTGGTTCTCCCAGCTCTCATTCTGGGACCACTCAGCCTGTCTCATCTTTACTCTAGGAAAATAGCATGTATATTCTGAGTTGCCCCAGCTTATTGCCAGAGTTCAGGCAGAATGTAAGTGGAGAAAGCTTGAACTCTGTACACAGGGAAACCTGGATGTGCTTTTTACTACCTGTTGTACTGTGCTCCAAGCCTCAGTCTCTACAACTGTTAAATGCTGAGAGTGGTACTGATTTTGCAGGATTTAAAGGATAACATACTGGATGTGTTTCTAGGGCCAGGCAGTAGCTCTTGTAGTCTATAGCCCCCAGGAGACACATCTGCTTTTTCTTATCGCAGAGCTCTTGATTAAGGAAGCTCTACCTGCTGATAAAGATGTCAGATGCAAATGTGTTGTAAGGACCCTGAGAAAGTAGAAGCAAAACTGTTTTCCTTGATCATTTGGGCTGTACCAGAGGAGCTGTCCGCCCATGAGTCAGTTCAGATTCCTGTTCGCCAAGCACTTGCTGTTTGAGGTTGCGTGCTGTGTAATGGGACTCGCTCAGAATCTAAGTGGACAGATGATGAGCCAGCTAGAGAGGTACCCACAGCGCCCTCAAGGCTTCCACAGTGGATCTTGCATCTGTGATGGCCCCAAGGCAGTGGAGACGCTTAGCAGACCCTGCTCTTCGCCAGAGGCCTGGTGTGGCAGGTGAAGGGCGCTGGAGCGGTAGCTGGGGTCAGGACACTGTTCTAGGTTCCTGCTGTCTTCTCTGCCTGCACCGCTTCCTCTCACCTCTGGGCCCTTCTCCCTTGCAGCAGGGACCCTGGGTGCAAGGGGCACAGATTTGCACACAGTGGCCTGGCCTGTGAGGCAGATGAGGGTCTGGGCGAGGAAGAGGACAGCAGCTCTGAGCGCAGCTCTTGCACCTCGTGCCCCACCCACCCACGCGATGGGAAGCTCTGTGACTGCTGCTACTGTGAGTTCTTCGGCCACAATGCGGTGAGTGAGCCTGCCTGGGCAGACAGGGCTGGGCAGCCGGGGCAGAGCAGACCCCTTGCTCGTGCAGTGATTGCACCCCCACACTGGCACTGAGAGTCCTCGCACCTACATCTCTTTGCTTCACCTCGAGGCATATTTGTGAGGTCGGGATTTCTTAACGTTTTGTTGGCTGTGTTTTTCCTCGTGGTTTCTCTGAAGATTGACTTTTCTTCTTTAGGCAAAAGGGAAGGAAGTGGCAGAGAGAAAGCAATGATTCTGATGAGTGTGTACGTGTGTAACCCCAGAGAAGTGAGCGCTTATGCATGATGAAGGCAGAGTGGAAGCGAAAGTTCCCCAAGTGTGGCAGCTAGCCGAGGCTCAGACCAGGGTACATGCTGTCTCTTGACAGCAGAGCCATTCAGAAGTCTCGGAACGAGAGAAGGAGAAGGCTGCTGGCTAGGGCAGAGCAGCTGAGGGTAGGAGATGTGGAAATAACTCAAAATTACTAGTCACCTTTGAGCTAGGCATTGTTATCTTCATTTTAGAGGTGACAAATTGAGGTTCACAAAGACTCAGTGACTCACCCAACGTCATACAGCTTCCAAGTGATGAAGCCCGGACTCAAACCTGCTTCCCTGGCACCCCAGTCCTTGATCCCCAAGCTCTGCCCTCATCTTCTTACACTGTTTCTGCTCATAGCCTACTGAGGATGAAGTCGTTTGGCCTTGGTGCCTGACGCTAGAGAATAATTGTCGGGCTTCTCACCACATACCTGATGCCAGCGGGTGGGAGCGCAATGGGCCTCCCAAGCCTAGGGTATAATATCAGCACCTCCCCTCCCCCAGCCACCCGCTGCCCCGACGAGTCGGAATTATACTGAGATCCGGGAGAAGCTCCGCTCGAGGCTGACCAGGCGGAAAGAGGAGCTGCCCATGAAGGGGGGCACCCTGGGCGGGATCCCTGGGGAGCCTGCGGTGGACCACCGAGATGTGGATGAGCTGCTGGAATTCATCAACAACACGGAGCCCAAAGCCCCCAACAGCGCCAGGGCAGCCAAGCGGGCCCGGCACAAGCTGAAAAAGAAGGTGGGTGTGGGGGGGCTCACCTCTACTGCCTCCCCTCCCAGAGGAGTCCCTCACCCTAACTTCTGGGGCATGATTGGCACTGGCTGCCAAAAACCCTTGGTGTAGCTCAACTGCTTTGGGAAGGTGTGGATGAGTCTGGGAGGCATCAGGGTCAGGGAAGCTCTGGGGAAGTAACTGGAGAGGGGATGGCTCTGCCACAAGCTGCTTGCTTGAGTCCTCCAAGCCAAGGTCATTTATTCATTCAGCAAGTGCTTCCACAAATACTGGGAACCAAAATGTTAAGTTCTCACCCCAGAGAAGCTTAGTCCAGTGAGGAGACTGACACGAAACTGGACAAGCACATTAGAGTGTGACGAGTACTGGAGTGAGGGACATGCTCTCTCTCGCCCAGAAGGAGGGTGACTCATCCGAGTCCTGGGGAGTAAGGACAGGTTGGTCAGGAGCGCCTTTCTCCTGGCAGCCCGCAGAGCACACCTTGCAGCAGTGTGGTAAAGCCACAGTGAGCGTAGCAAGGAAGTGGGCCAGGTAGTGGGAGTAGCAGGCAGCCTGGAGGCCCCGCTGCAGGTCAGCTTGCTCTGGTCACCATCAGTTAGTCCACTGGTCACGCCTGCATTTTGATTGTGGTGTGGTGGCACAGAAGGCACATGGGAAGACGAGGACAAGAAAACTGAGTTTGATACCCCAGGCAGTAAGACCAAGGGGGACAGTGGGGCTGGAGAGAGATTGGAGGGCAGAATGACAAGCTTGGGTATTCTGATGACAGCACGACACAGGTGTCTCCCAGGTGGTAGCCAGTATGCTGATGGTGCTGGTGACAGAGCCAGCATGGCAGGTGCAGAAGACCAGATGCAGTGGGCACGTTGATTGAGAGGGTCCTGTGTGGCACTCAGGTGCAGGTGGAGTGGGCGACTAGCAGTTGCCAGCGCAGAGATGTAACTGAAGCCATGGGAATGAGCCAGACCTCAGCACTGAGGACTAAACCCGGGAGCTACTCCTGGACAGTCCGCCGCTAGCTGAGCCTTGGAGTCGACGGCTTGTCCTGCGGCTTCATTACTTCTTTGCCTGCCTACCCCCAGCTGCGTCTGCACAGTGGCACCCGCGGGAGCCACCATCTGAAGAGATCTGGCTTGACAGCCAGCTAGTTCCAGTTCTTGGGTGGTCACAACCCTAGAGCAGAAGTGATTCTCCACCCTTCCAGCCCAAGGACAACCAGAATCCTTCTGCAGCCTGAAATGGCAAACCAAAAGTTTGCGCTATTACCTTCAGACAACAGTCAACCTTCCTTTACCCCCACCCAGAGTTGCCCTCCTGAGGTTTTTCAGTAGGTTTCTGTGGTCTCTGGCCTCTCTAAGCAGTCCCCAGAGGGCATGCTCAGTAGTCCCCAGGTCTAGTGTGCTTCATACCGTGCACCCTTCCTGAAAGGCTGTCATTCTGGAACTCAGTTCCTGTTTCCTCCTTTGTAGACACCCTCAGGGAAGTCTTCTCTGCACCTTGCATGGCTCTCTGGGCTGCCATTCATCACACCCCTCTGATCTCAAGCTCCCTGCATAGTCACTGTCGACTAGACCCTTTGAGGTCCCATTGGTTTTAAGTAGTTTAGCTGCCATCAGAAATCCAGCTTCCCTGGTGGGCATGTGGTGATGACTGCTTACTGTCTACCACCTTGGGAGGTGGGTGAAAGCAGGCCTTTCCTGACCCTTCACCCCACTATCAGACAATACTTCCTTTTTCTTGCCTTTCGGCGCTACTCCCTGATCCTTTGAAGCTGCATCCCTTACTGTGTCATCTGCAACCTCACAGCCATTCTTTGTCCACTTAATGTCGTCTGACCCTTTCTCTTCTCAGGCCAACCTAGTACTCACTCACTTGAGTAAGTGTTGGTAAGGAATGAGCTGACCATCATCCAGCCGCTCTCCTAGGGGTTCGCTTCAGTTCCTTGCCTGCTGTCCTTCCTGCACGTCTGCTCAGAAAAACTGAAGTCCGTGCTGTCCCATGGCTCCCCTTCCACGCCCAGAGGATAGCATGGGACTGGGTTTGTGTGATCCGCAGCTGGTGCTCTCACACTTGCTTGAGACCTCGTGTTGCCTGGCTAGCCTGTAGTTCCCTAATCCTTTTATTCTTTGTCATTCCCATTCCTGTGTCCATTTTGTCAGTACTCTCATTCTCCAGCCTCCTCTCACTGCTCTCCTGTTTTTTTTTTTTTTGTTTGTTTGTTTTTGTTTTGTTTTGTTTTGGTTTTTTTTTTTTTTGGTTTTTTGAGACAGGGTTTTTCTGTGGCTTTGGAAGCTATCCTGGAACTCACTCTTGTAGACCAGGCTGGCCTCGAACTCACAGAGATCCGCCTGCCTCTGCCCCCCGAGTGCTGGGATTATAGGCGTGCGCCGCCAATGCCCGGCCTCTCCCATTTTTTTTAGCAAATAAGTTCACTTCTGTTTTCATCAAGGAAAAAGTCATTGGCTATACCTCCTCATCTAAGGGAAAGGTCACCCTTCCCCCATCCCAGGCCACACAGTCCTTCTTTGTTTCCCCAGCTTAGGCTGCCTGCGGATTTTCGAAGCCTTTGATTGGTAAACATTGTCTCAGACCCAAACCCAGACTCCAGCAAAGCGTTCTGAAGTCTCTCTCTGGTCTGGCTCCCATCGCACGTCCTTGTGCCCACTGTTGAGTCTGAGGCAGACAGTTCCTGGAAGCTGGAGCCAGCCTTTCCCGCTCTCCCTGTTCGCTGGAGTCTTAGAAGCTCTGCATCCATGTTGACTGTTGGCACTTCCCACTGTCCTAACCAAACACTGCCACCCTCAGTCACCTCCTTATTGCCAGATCCAGGTTATGTCATGGTTGTGTGATAAGTGGCCTTTGGCATTTTGTTTGTGCACCCCTTAAATCTTGTCTTTGGCTCCTTGACTTTCAGCAAGTAGGGCCCAGGAAGTGGCAGTGGGGTCACCATCTTCTCCATATTTCCTACCTGCCTCTCTGACCTTTCTCCTTTGTGAGTTCTTGTCCCTCACCTAGACTGTAGAACACATCTCTGGGAAAGAGAAGCCCTCTAGGTGGTATTTTTACCTTGTACTTGACATTGGCATCTCTGCTAACTGTTGGTCCTTTGGGACTATCCTGTAGGTACCTCGAGCTCGGAATATCACGAAAGAAGCCTGCCTTTTCTTCTACATTATGTGTTTAGTAAAGGACCACTTCACCCTGTTGCTTGACCTTGAGTCCTGGGCACTGTCGTGGGGAAGTGCAATGTGACTGAAAACAGTGAGCCTTGGAACTGGACTTCGGTTTGAAGCTCAGCTTCATCACACTTGCTGTATGACCTTGGGCAATCACTTAATCTCTAAGCCTCGGTTTTTGCATCTATAAAATGAGAATAACAGGACCCTAAGTCATAGATTGTCCTGAGCATGAAATGAGATGATGCATGGGAAGTTGGCAGAGCGCCAGGCACATGGGTGCTTGGTTCATGGGGACCACTGTAGCAGCTGTAGTGGGTGCTGACGCTTTCTGAACACGTGTCATTTTACCTTCCTGCTGACCACAGGGATACCTATCCATGACAACCCCACGCCCTACTCACCAGTCCACTGCTCCACCCACAGCATCTGATTTTAAAGCCTTCAGTTGGTGCTCACTGACTGCCTAGAATGCAGCTGCTGTCGATCCTGCCAGCTCCACCTTTCAGCCACTTACTTTTTAACCTGCCTGCCTCCTGACTCTAGACACATCTCCCCTGGCAAAAACAAAAGAAAAACAAAACTCAAGGCACTAACTGTGCCTCGGCGTTGTTTTTGCTTCCTCTTGATGTGCTATTCCATTTTCCCTGATTGTACACTTGTTCCTTCCACCTAGAATGTGCTTACCTCATTTTTCCCAGGATAATCCCACTCACCCTTCAGGACCTGTCCAGGAGCGCTCTCAGATGACCTAGGCTGGGTTAAAAGCACCTTGTGCTTTGGTGCCCCTGTACGATTTGACCCTGTCACCCTGAATTAAGCAGTCCATTTATATGTCTCTCTTCCTTGGCTAACATGGAAACAGAGACCATGTATCTTATATCCAGCTGTGCTCCCAAAGCTTAGCCCACTGCCTCACAAATGGAACTGAGCCATCTTTGGCGCCTGTCCTGATTTTGTCACTTAGTAGCCACCGAACCTTGAGCCAATTTCATATTCTTGCCAAAGTTGAAGTTTATCATCTTTAAACGAGGCATTATGGTGCAGCATGGGCAGTGGTAAGGGTTAATGACTTGCTGCCCGGAGCCATGTTTCTGCATGGAACCGTGCTGCATTCTGTCCTTTGTCCTTTCTGTGCCAGTGTTTGTAACAGGGAGGTGCTATCTACACCAGTGCTTTCCAGACTTTCTCAACATAGAGCTAACATTTCTGAGTGAGTAACAACCAGAAGCCAGGCCTGTTGGGGAGTCAGGGAGAGACCATCCCTATGGTCTCCTATACCTGCAGACAATCCTCCAGGCCACACTGCTGCTCTCCTGAGTAGGCAGAGTCCTGGCACATGAAGGAGACTTGCCACTAACCGTTATAGCCATCCTCAGAGCAACTTTTTTTCCTAAATTCTAAACTTGGATGTTAGGGTTCACAGAGAGTAAGTGATTTGTCCAAGGAACTCTAAGGAAAGCTGAGTTTAGGTATGTAGTCAGTGTTCAAAAAGACAAGAGAACACATGTCTGCCCCCTCGGGCAGAGGATCACAATGTTTACGTTGATTCTGTGGTGATGGCAAGTCTTTTCTCCCCAGATTCATTCTCTTCTGTTTCCCCTCAATCTGCAAGTCAGCTGGGATGCATGAGGTGGGGCTCCGCCACACCCTTCCCCTATGACTCCCAGCCCCCTGTGAAGGCCTTGTTAGCCTCTGGTACCTTGGGTTTGAGCAGACAGATGTGGATAACTCCACCCCTAGACTGGTTTCCATTCTCCTGAATCAAGTCTGGGGCCTCCCAGTCTTCACCTGTGCTCAGGGCTGCTTTAGATCTTGTGAGGACCCTGTCACTGATGATGCTATAGGACACACTTGCGATGTGCAGGGATATATGGAGCTGGCTGATGAATGAGAGACCAGAGACCTTTTTAAAGGCTCTTATGTGTCAGCCATTCAGGCAACTCAGTTCCTATATCTTACTTCCTTTAAGACTGCATAATAATATTTTCCCTGTTACCTACAGAACTGAAGAGACTGCCTCTCCATAGCCATGCATCTCCACTTTGTTCTTTATTCCAGAATTATTGTCTCTACTTTGCAGATTAGTCTACTGGGGCCTAACTGGGGAGTGAGTGAATTGCTCAAGCTCCTGCTAACTCATGCCTAGGAAGCAGATCTAGCCTTCTTGGGCTCTGCACTGACAAAGGCTCATGATGGATAAACTGTCAAAACCCTACCCTCGGGAGCTTATTTGTGCTTCCACCCCCAAGACTTGATAATATCTGGTGTCACTGCCCCCTCACTCCTGCAGGGCTGAAGACATGGGGAGCTCTCTAGTCTCTGCCTTCAGCAAGTGAGTGGCAAAGCTAAGTCCTAGGGTGATGTGTCAGGTGTCACATTGTACCTGTTGCTGGCAGACCTATGCTGAAACTGCCTCTTTTATTGGCAGGAAAAAGAGAAGGCTCGGATGGCAGCAGAAGCCCTGAAGCAGGTGAATCGTGTTTCTGGAAGCCAGGAGCCAAGGCCTGCCAGGGAGAGGCTCCTCGAGTGGCCTGACCAGGAGCTGGACCGGGTCAATAGTTTCTTGAGCAGCCGCTTGCAGGAGATCAAGAGCACTGTCAAAGACTCCCTCTGTGCCAGTTTCAGCGTGTGTGAGCTCAACATGGAGAGCGGTGGCTTTAAGGAGGGGACTGTCGAGCCTCAGCCCCAGACTCTAACCCCTTCAGACCTCAACGGCTCTTCTGAGCAGCAGCCTGATATCAACCTTGACCTGTCCCCTTTGACTTTGGGCTCCCTTCAGAGTCACTCGTTACAAGCTCCAGGTGAGCCCGTCGCAGCATGGGCAGAAAGAAGAGACCCTTGTCCACCATGGACAGAGATGAGGGGCCCCCCTCCTGATGTCCCTGAGAATGGGCTTGTGAGAAGACTCAACACTGTGCCCAACCTGTCTCGGGTGATCTGGGTCAAGACACCTAAGCCAGGCAACCCTAGCTCTGAGCAAAGCTCTAAGGAAGTCCCCAGTTGCAAAGAGGAGCTGTCTGAGTCTGTGGCCACAGGTGGGAAACCAAGAAAGGG